ACGGATGAGGGAGATAATCGCACCATCATCAGAACAGAGCACATATATTCCATGGTGGAAGGAGATGATATGTATGAGGGGAGAGGGGAAAGGGGGGGGGGTAAATGGGCCGCTTGCCAAATCACGGACAAGTGAGGGAAAGCGGAAGTGCTTTTACTATATATATCATTTATCACGGGCAGAATGCGAAGCGCGATGCTTCTTCATATGATAAATGTGTGTACGCGTTTGATGGTCGTGACGGTAAGATGAAAAATCCATATTTTTGTGAAAAACAAAAAAAAATGCAATTTTTAATTACTTCGATTAGAATTTTTAATATCGATCTTGTTGCTATGTTTGATGTATTTATAGAAATAGTGCAAGAGCGACTGGAGCTGTTATACATATATAATTGTCTTACTTTCTTGTCCGTTCACTAACCGACCGTATCGTCTGATGTCAGTGCACAGTGCGGTGCAGGTAGGTAGTTAGACTGGGAAAATTACACCTTTCCCGCGAAATATGTTATCATTATGAGATAACGGTACCAACGATGCTGATATTTTTTAATAACGCACGACAACTGAAGTCATACGAAATTCTCGTATACACGGTTATTTGGTCCAAACGTGTGGCGCGGGAACATGATTTTATCATAAAAGGACTCAAATGAGAGACGTTAACATCCGATGGTACGTTTGGGCTGAATAACGAGGTATTGGTTAACTGTATGAGTTTCTTATTAAATTTACTTAATTCGTCTCGTATATATACTGTGTTGAAATTATACCAAATTCGCAAATACGAATATGATATTCATATGCAGTATGGATATTCTTGCGGTAGTTATTGAAAACAGGGAAAACTTGGACTAAGAATTGTACAAGTAAAATTAAAACTTCATATACATATGAAGTATGTATGTATTTACACGACGTGAAAATACATAGGCGATTGAGAAAATGAAAAAAAAAAAAACCCAAAACGATTACGTAGAAAGATTCAAAAGCATCGTTAAAAGTCATTTTCAAAGTTGCCACGGTATAGATTCGTGACCTGATGATTTATCGATTCGCGACGACTCGAGTTCACCGTAAATCATTATTCCGGAATAAAAAGGACGACCGAGACGACGCCGAGCGTCGATTTTATCGGATTCTACTAAGAAAGGTTAACTTATGCCAACCCATTAGTTCCCTTGGAAGCAGCACTGGTTTCGAAAATATGTAAAAGAATATTTTACACGAAAAACATGTTTGTCATCGATATCAAAGTACTGCCGGTGGCTTCGACGCCTGGCGTCGCGACGCGAATCTTTCCTGTACCATCCCTATATACTATCGATGGCAAGCACAGTTAAAGGGATGACGAATACTTAATAATTCATGAAAGATCCCAACCTGGTTCCTGGCGACAGTTTTATTCGCTCGCGATAAAAAGAAAAGGAAAGAAAAGAATAAAAAGAAATTGATAAGAGAAAAAGAAAATATAAAATTCCTGAATAAACTCGATGAAGAAAAAAAGGTACGAACGATGCAGGCAAAGTGGCACGTTTATTGGCTTCTTTATATTTTCACGGAATTTTATGCTTTTACCTAGTATCCATTTTCTTTATCTTTTTCTTTCACGCATCTCTCTTGCTTTCTCTTACTGTTGCGTTATCTCGTATTATTTTTCAATATATTCCATACCACCCTATCCCCTCTCCTCCTCTCGACAAGACACGTACACACCGTACACAGAGTTCTTCGTATAACGACGCAAGAAGATGGGAAGAACATAAAGATTCAAGAGAAGTTATTAATGTTCTCTTGGACCCCCTTTATAGATGCAGAATTCGAATGACGCGAAATTATTATTATTATGCCATATTACAATACCTCATTGGCGCTTCAATCCTTCGATCAAAAACTGCACTTTGCAGCACACGTAAATAACTGATGGTTCTTATCGTTACGTTACTCATTTCCCGAAATACGAATTTTATCACTTTATTACTTTTCTCTCTATTCCTCGACTCTAGTTTACTGATTGACGGACGCGAAGCAACTGCGGTTACTGTGTAAGTTTCGGAAACGACTGTGGTGCCATCTGGTCACGTGGTTTTTTTTTCTGTGTAACTGAAACTACTATTGAGACGTTGGCTGTGTTTGTTTACATTCCATAAAAGGTCTTTTTCTCTATTATTATTATCATATACTTCTATCGTTGTACTGTCTACAATTCTCTAATTTGCTATATTTATGTATATATTATAGAAAGGCAGGAAGCTTTAATTAAAATTTAGTCTTAAGTTATTCTATTATTTTTATCGCTTTAATCCGGTATGCATGTTTTGTTCTAATTTACTGTAATTCAATCCTGCTATTGTAATTGTGTTTTCGCAGTATACGGGATATGCTTTTAATATGGAATTAAAAACATTTCTCTCTCTCTCTCTCTCTCTCTCTCTCTCTCTCTCGCTACTTTGCAATTATATAGATTTACACTCCTGCGACATTTCTTATGCAAATTCGGAATTAAAAACATTTC